ATCAGGATCTGGTTGTTTACCACAGTCAATTGCTATAGTATAAAGTAGAATATAAATTATATGCTATGCATAATGATTTAGCTTACGATTGCAAGTAGGGGCAGAGCCACTCCAGTGACCATTAGCTTGGCAAGTCCTTACATCATCAGAGCTAAGTTCATATCCTAGTTTACACCTGTACAATGCTTGACCTCCAAACAGTGTATTAGGTGAAATATGAACCCATCCATTTTCAGGGTCATCCAAGTCTCCACAGTCAACGGCTAAAATTTTTGATAGCATAATATATAAATATTTATTTTTCCTGTTGGTATATCTTACGCATGCAACTTGGTTCTTGTCCAGACCATTCTCCATTAGCTAGACAAGTCCTTGTGTCATGACCAACTAGTTTGTATCCACTGTTGCAAGTGTATGTAGCAGTACTACCCAATCTAGTATCAGGATGTATAGATACAGCTCCATTAGCAATGTGAGGCAATGGACCACAATTGACACCTAAATGATGACATTATAACATTATATTATTCTAGTGGTAATAACTCACGTTTGCAGATTGGTGCTTCTCCTGACCATTTACCACTACGTGAGCATGACCTTCTAGCAAATCCAACCAATTGGAATCCTTCATTACAGGAATAGATAGCTTTCTGTCCAGGATAACGACCAGTGACATTCACACTACCATCCTTAGGGTCAGGAAGCTTAGGGCAAACCCTCTTGTCTAGTGTAAACAAATTAATATTAAATATTAGTTTACTGACAAGGTATAAATAAACTGCATAATGGTTCACATAGATCTAAGCTTACATGGTGGATATCTGTATCCAGAATGATAGCCACTACCTGGTCGATGAGATCCTCCATATGGAGGTCTTCCATATGGTCGTCGTCCATATGATCTTCCTCTACCATATCCACCACCATAAGAGTCTTGAGCAATTGTTGCTCCAAGAATTGCAATGAGCACAAGACTTGCAAATAATACCTTCATTATGAAAGAGATTCTGTTCCTTTCTGTAGGTGACTCTTTGTTCACCTTCCTTGCCTTTTATACTTTTCTCTTCTAATACCAGGTTTTTAATATTTGGTCTTCGATTAAAATGGGGTATTCACTAAGTTTGCTACACCTTTTTGTGCCAGCCATGACAAAGCTAAGAGTTTTACGAAGTAGTTAATGGTGAGGTGACTGTCACATTACCACGATAGTCAAAATTTCTTTTAAGCCTTAATTTGATATGTCTTGTTGCTTTAATTATATTTTATCAATGAAAGAGTGCTCATGGCCTTTTGTGATGCATGCAGTAATTACAGAAAGAGCTTAATACTATTACTTCTGTGACGAAGAAATAAGTTGTTAATACCAAGTACACATATAGATCTAATTCATTATGTACATGCATACTTTCTTATTATTTATTCAACAATTTTTTTGTTATAGTACATTATGCATAATTTGCATTTATTTTTTTTGCAACAAGATTAGTTAGTGCAGAAGTCTGTCTATTTATACCTGCATCATTGATCTGTCACAGTTCATTACTATTCAACTAATCAAATTACAGTTTCAAATGCAGCCATGCAGGGGCGGTTCTAGGATTTAATTTCTGGGGGGCCTTAATGATATGGGTGGGATAATTAGTGGGTGCGGTCAACCAGGCTTGCATGCAGGATTCCATTTGGAAAGTCAAAATTTAGAAGATTAGGCCTCTTAAATGAGCTCCTTTGTGGTTTACAGACTGTTTACATAGTCGAGCACTGCAGCTGTTTCACAGTTTACATAGATAAAACCAAGAACTAATTTTATACTTCACCACAAAAATTTTGGGGGGCCATGGCCCCCCCAGGCCCCCCCAGACCCGCCACTGCAGCCATGACAGTAATAGATCTACATGTTAGATACATTGTAGCCCAAATTTATCATGAGTTATGTCTTGATTCACACTTGTTGGGGTGTATCTAGTCTATTAACTCATTAGCAAATAAATGCATTTAGCTATTCGTACTGCATTAATTTGTCTATCATTAATGCAGTGGTTTTATCTAGTAGACTCTACAAGGCACTTGCACACAGGCACCTTGAGATATCAACACTATTATATATATGTTGTATATACCATGACGATATGGGAATCGATATCCTGAGACCGAGGATACTTTAAATTGATATCACCCTTGGGCCGAAGGCCCAAGGGTGATATCAATTCAAAGTATCTGAGGTGGAGGGTGTATCAACCCATATCGGCATGTTATATATGTTATATTTCATCTATGAATCTCATTAATGATATATATATATATATATATATATATATATATATATATAGGTTTGATTATGTAGATCAGCATTATGTAGATCAGCATTATGTAGATCAGCATTATGTAGATCAGCATCAACAATCGGCATGAGTGGTATAGAGTTTAGTAGCAATCAAGAGAGCTACTATGTAAACTAGACTGTTTTTGCCACTTAGCTCTGAAATGCTGTAAAATCAACTTTACAATTTAATATTAGTTAATATTTTATTTAGCAAAAATATCTATAAATAATCAATATTTTGTGCACACAGAGAATGTTTCAAAAGTTAATATTCATGCTCCTTGTATGAGCCACCATATCCTCCTCCATAGTATCCTCCATAATGATCATCTTTCTTGCACTGAGCAGGAGATCCGCTCCATTGACCATTGTGAAGACATACTCTGCGGCTCTTGCCACTCAAACTATATCCATAACCACAGCTGTAGACAGCATAATCACCAGGATATTGACCAGAGGTGTAAATTCTGCCATACTGTGGAGGTTTAAGTTTAGGACACTGGATTTCTAAAAGTATACTAATAAATGAATTTTATGCATAGAGTTTT